AGAACCAATAGGTTGGTATTGTTTTGTCCCAGTTGCTATTTTTTGTTATAACAACTGGATAGCTTATAACTGTTCGCGCTTATATCATTGTATTTGTCTGTAAAATGTTTGTGAAGGGTTTTATGATCACAAGAATTAAAAAAAGCGTTGTTCGCCTTGGCAATGCACGTCTACGAATTTGAGGGCGGAGCTTCTGAAGGGAGGGGTGTGTTTGTTTTGCTGTTGAGTTTAAGTATCAACAAACGTTCACCAGAATCGTATAGTGCGCCTTTAACTATATTAAATTACATGTTCTTTGTTTTCTGCTGCCATTTTCAGCCAAAATTCTGGCCATTCAACTGCATCCCACCCATCTCCAGTTCCAGTTAAAATGCAGTATTACTGACTACTAACTCTTGTCTGGACTACAACCAAATCTAAAGCATTTCCATGCTGTGAACAGTATAATCTCCTCAGAGAGATTGCAGTGTGTGTCCAAAAGGATCCAGACAGGCCTTCTAATTAGTGAATTCATCTACTTTAAGGTCACCCATTGCTGACACAGTCATTCAATAGCGCACACAGCTTATATATATATCTCCATAGAAAAGCATTGCTAATATAATGAGACACTCTGGAGCAGCTGCATATGAGCCGAAGGTCACCATAACTAATGTCAAGTATCGACTAGAGGGGTATAAATCCCTCCAGCATTGGGCTGTGGAGCAGTGGAACAACATTTCCTGGGGTGATTGAGCTCCATCCAATACTTTTGGGATGAGTTGGAGTGTTACTGCAGCGAAAGAGGGCCCTCTTTCGCTGCAGTAACACTCCAACTCCTCCCAAAAGACTGTCGATTAACACCCTTGATTTCAGAAGAAATGCTGGACGAGCAGGTGTCTACAAAGGTTTGGGCATCCAGTGTATGATCTCCACAGCCTAAACGTTTTCCCACATGTTCTCAGGGCATTCAAATATTATTTGATTCCCTGTTTTTTGCCCTCCAGATGGGGAATCAAAGAGCACTGTACACAAATCCTAATCCCCAACTTCCCATCTGCTGGAGTCATCCAACCAATATCCAGCATCAGCGTTTGCGGGTACCACACCAGGCACGCCTGCACCGAAACTGGGACAAATATGGCAGCAAAGGTCAGAGAGCAGTGAGCTCAGCACAGCTGCTTGATCCTGTCTGCCCACTCACACAGCAGCAACAATAGCTGAACTAAAGACCAGGGTTTGTCCACTGATGGGCTTCCCCACATTATTCTGTGGAGTAAACCTAATACAAGCAAAACAGCCATTAATTACAAGTGATCAGATTTTCTGCATCAGGAAAAAACAGAAAACATATTTAACTGAAAGCATCAACAACTCAATAAAATATCAAATTTTACAGTATTTAATGTCTCCACTCTGCCTTTATTGCAGCTTTTGTCATTCAGAAGACTTTTCAATTTTCCAGGGATATTTTTCTACAACCCCAAAGTTCAGTCTTAGAAGTTGGTTGCATTTCATTTTCTGCTTCTCACAATCCAAATAATCCAAACACATTTAGTGGTGCTGAGACTCCAAATGTTTTTCTTTTCTCGTCTATTTCCTTTTCTCAGTAAGGGCCTCTTTATAGCTACACATTCTTTCAGACCCATAGCGTAGAGTTGTCTTCTCACAGTGGAAGGATGGACAGTGGATTTTTTCAGATCTGAATCAAGAGTGGAGCTTGACCTTCTCTCTCTGATGAAAGCCATGAGTGCTTTTTATCTGATAGGGGCAGTTTTGGTGGTCTATCAGTTCTTGCAGGTGGTTGTTAGGAATCCCATTTTCTCTGCATCTTTTAATAATTTTTGAACTCCAGATTTGAAAATGTTTATTTACTTATTTTCCTTTTTTTCCCTTCATTTTGCAAGTGGATTATTTATCTAATTGCCTCAGAAATATCTCCTGAAAAATAAAAAACATTTTGACTGGAAAGTAAATAAATAAAGAGCAGTCTCTGACCAGTGGTCAGGAAGTACTGTTGCAATGCAATGCCCCTAGACAAATTATATGTTCTGCTGATTTAACACATCCTCTACAGGGAACAATTCTCTGCACAATTAAGGGCACGACGTCTATGTATTTGTTCAGTTTAAATAAAAAATATGTATATATAAAAAAAAATATCAGTAATGAAATGTAGAGGATGTGCTCTCACATATGAATGTATGGAAAATATAATTAAATTGTAAGAAAGAGCAATGGGAGAGTTTACAATATGCATTATCACCATGCAAATTGCCAGCTAATCACTTTTGTAACTTTGTAAATTTTAATCCAGTTACTTTTTTAACAGCTCTATTTGAATGCAAGACCAGCATACTATGAAACTGCATTGTACTGTACTACCAGACCTGCTTGAAAAAAAATGATCCTTTTTTTATCTGGATATAATCGGTCTCTGTGCTGGTACACTGGCCTACTTTCTGTAGGCAGATTAAAGTCCCAAAACACAGATTTCCATACAATAATGAACCTCCATTACTCACATTTGCTTGACATTTACACTGACTGAGAACTTTATCACACCTGTACACCTACTCATTCACGCAATTATTAAGCCAATTGTGTGGCAGCAGTGCATAAAATCATGCGGACACAGTCCAGCAGCTTCAGGTAATGTTCACATCACCATCAGAATGAGGGAAAATGTGATCTCAGTGATTTTGACTGTGGTGATTGTTGGTGCCAGATGGGCTGGTTTGCATATTTCTGTAACCGCTGATCTCCTGAGATTTTTTACACACAACAGTCTCTAGAGTTTACTCAGAATGGTGCAGTAAAGAGTGAGCGGCAGTTCTGCAGATGGAAACACCTTGTTGATGAGAGAGGTCAACGTTTGACTGACGTTACGGTAACTCAGATAACCACTCTGTACAACTGTGGTGTTCAGAAAAGTATCTCAGAATGCACAACTTGTTAAACCTTGAGGTGGATGGGCTACAACAGCAGAAGACCACGTAAGGTTCCACTTGTATCAGCCAAGAACGGAAAGCTGAGGCTGCAGTTGGCACAGGCTCACCAAAACTGGACAGCTGAAGTCTGCAAAATTGTAGCCTGGTCTAATCTTGATTTCTACTAAGGCAGATGGAAGGATCAGAATTTGGTACAAAGAACATGAATCCATGGTCCCAACCAGCCTTGTGTCAACAGTCCAGGCTGGTGGAGGTGTGTAATAGTGTGGGGAATAGGTTCTTGGCACATTTTGGGTACATTAATATGAACTAGTCATTGCTCGAATGGCACAGCCTATTTGAGTATTGTTACTGACCATGAGCATCCCTTCCCGGCCACATTTTCAGCATGATAATGCACCATGTCACAAAGCAAAAGTCGTCTCAAACTTGTTTCATGACAATTACAATGAGTTCAGTGTTCTTCAGTGGCTCTCCCATTCACTGCATCTGAATCCAGTAGAACACCTCTGGGATGTGGTAGAACAAGAGATTCACAGCATGAAAGTACAACCAAAAAAAAAAAACTGCAGGATTTGCATGATGCAACCATGTTGGACCAGAATTTCAAATTAATGTTTCTGACATCATGTGGAACCTGTGTCACAAAGAACTGAGGCTGTTTTGAGAGCCTCATAAAGTGGCCGGTGAGCGTATATACTTCACAGTTAGCTTATCAAACATTCATTAGTGATGTTATTGATCATTTTGCAGACTGTCTGGGCTACAGGTGGAAGGCAAATCCCACTATTGCATATCATTTAAAGACATCTTGAATAACATTTCACTGCTCTCTCACATTAAAATGACCATAATAAGAAATCAGACAGTTACAGTAGGAAACAAAAGACAATCAGCACACTTATCTTTGTCAAAGTAAGACATTTGACTATCAGCATGCTTGGCAATGTTTTTGTTGGTCATGATTGTAAAGGAGTCATTCCAGGAGTCCACAACATTCAGTGCAATGTTTAAAGGACAGACGCCTGGCAGGACTAAATATATTAATTCAAAATTCATCATGATCACAATGAAAAACTTTTAATTCATGTGAAAAAAGAACTTTGGAAGTTACAGCATAAATATTAGAAAATAAAAAGTCATTTTAACATCAAACCTTCGCCATGGCATTCTGTTTTGCGTGAATTAACTCACCCTGTCACAAGTTCTGATGGGGTTGTCATTTAGCACAAAAAAAAAGAAAACCTGTTTTTGGTGAGAAGAGTATGTAATTGAAACTACAGAAAGCAAAAAAACGTGATAAATCTAATTAGCATAACAATTTGACACCAAGGTGATGGAAATGTAAATCTACTGATGGGGAACTTAACATTTACTTCAGGGTTGTAGGTGATCCAGAAAGAGTTAGAAATGTCAATTAATTAAAGTTAATATAAATTCTTTATAATTAAATAGTTGAGATGCAAACAAAGCCATTCACAGTGGTTTAGTGTGAAATATTTCGTTCTATATAAGCTTGTGGTGACAGGAATGAAGATGTACAAAAGCTCCCTCACTGAAAGTGAACATGAAATGCTTAGATATACGCTGCCTGAGGTCTGACACACTGCTTTATGATAGTTTTATGATTGTTTTGGCTTAAAATGTATTTTAAACCAAAACAATCATAAAATGTATTTTCATCAGTTTATTTTGATCCTTTCATGGTGGAGGGGCACATGCAGGGCATTGTAAGGCAAAATAGCCCCCCCAAAAACTTATTTTTTTCAGATTTATGACCACTTTACCATCATCAACATTACATATAAAACCTAGGAGACACCTGTAGGTTCACTGGTGGTTGTGGATAGTAAATAAAATGGCTATAGTTGTGTTGTAGGCATCCCTGGTTTCTATCAGCACCACTGTAAATGAATCAGAGTCACTAAGTTTCTCTACAAATGACCCGTTTTACATCAAACCACTCTGAATGAGTCTGTTTACAGCTCAAGTACTGAATTATTGAGAAATTTTGAATAATTGGTGGAACTCCCCTTTAAGACTGTGGGCCAATAGAGTTCCTGAACTTACGTGAAAACGAAGAAGAGCGTGGAGGATCCGGCCAGCAGACCCGCAGCGATGGACACAGGGATGTAGGCTCCGGCTTTAACTCTGTCTCCGGAGCTGCTGGGCATGCTGCCGCCGTTTCAGCCCAACACACAACTCAGCGCCTTCACAGCTCAGACTACGGAACATAATCCTTCACGTGTCAAAAGTTCGTGAGCCGGCCGGGGAGAAGCCACGCGCGCGGTCCAGAAACATGCCCGCGCCGCGTCCGTCCCGCTGCCCCGCAGGCTGAACTCACTTTCTGAGGATGAAAACTAAGAGGCGGGGCTTCGGACCAGATATGGGCGTGGCTTCGCGAGCGCCCACCAATCACAAGCAGGAATGAATAGGGATAAACATAAGAATTGTTTTTTTATTATTTTTATTTTTTTTTAAGCGGGAATATTTGTGCTTAAAGTAGACTTAAAGGGAAGTCCACCGAATTTCCGATTTTTCAAAAAATTCGACCTAATTAAACGGTTAACTAAAAGTCATACAGAGTGGTTTGATGTGAAATGATTCATTTTTACGAGACTCCACAACACAAATATAGCCATTTTATTCACTATCCAAAACCAACAGTGAACCTACACGTCTTCTAAGTTTTTATATGTAACGATGATGAAGGTAATATAGTGGTAAATCTGAGAAAATAAGTTTTCATTGAGGACCCTTTTGCATTAGAACACCCTTCATGTATCCCTCTACCATAAACATAATAAAATAAATTGATTAAAATACATTTTAGGGCAACATTTTTATCTTAAAACTATGATTAAACTACCATAAAGTAATGTCTCATTACTGACATCAGGCTGTGTATTCATCACTATTTAAGGTAAGAAGTTTTGTGAGGGAGCTTTTAGAGGCATTAAAATCTTCAGACGTCTGGTTCCCGCTGTGAACAATTCTGACTCTGTAAGTTTCCCTAGAACAGGCCACTGTGAATGACTACATCATAACCATGTAATTTTGAAAAATTGGTGGAGTTCTCCTTTAAATTCCTAAATGGCTATCTACTCACTACATTGTGCACTGTGTGAGTTAGAAATATATGCACCGTATGTTCGGTAGGGATCATGACAGAATCCCAAAAGTCTTTTAAGGCCTATATAGTGCATGTGGGAAGCAGAGAGCCATCTGAGATTCAATCAAAGTCATTTAGAGTGGTTTGGTGAGAAATGGTTCATTGCAGTGAAATATACCAACTCAGATTTCTTTACTGTAGTGCTGATAGGAACCAGGGGTCACCATGTCTACAACACAAATACAGCCATTTTATTTACTGTCCAAAACAGCTGCAAGGTAGTGGTAAATCTGAAAAAATGAGTTTTATTTGGGGACTATTTTGCCTCTCAGCGCCCTGCATGTTCCCCTCCACCCGGAAGAGCACATTTTAGGCCAAAACCTTCTCTCAAAACTATCCTAAATCAGTCTCAGGCATCAGAGAACATGTTTGTAACAGCTTTCTGTCAGAGGCATGAAACTCTTCGGACGTCTGGTTCCTATCACCACCACTGTGAACAACTCTGGTTCAGTAAGTTTCTGTAGAACGGAGCGTTTCACACCAAACCACTCCGAATGACTTTGTTTGCATCTAAACAATTTAATTATGAAGACAAAAAACAGTAGGATTCCCCTTTAAAATGAAACTTTTAACCTTAAAATGTTCTCCATTATTAAAGGCAGTGGCTAAATCTAAAACCGTGAAAACTCAAAAAACATTCAAATGAATAAATGACTCTTTTCTATGATAGAATAGCCAGTAGTATCACGTCTCATCTCCCCCTTCAATCACTCCCACCTATCATTCAGCAAAACACTCTGCTAGCTCAGATCACTTGGAATACATTACTGAACAGAGGGTAAATATGTTATGATTCCCAATGTGCAACTTTAAACAGCAAAAAATTTCAATAAATGCCCAGTGGTCACTTGCATAAAACATCTTAAGTGAATTGTTGGCTTAAGTTTTCTCTTTGCCTTCAGTGAGCCGTGTAAAAGCTCTTCAGGGAAATGTTCAAATTTATCAAATTTAAAAAATAAGATGAATATTTGAGATTGTTATGTAAGCAGCCACAGGCTTCCATTTCTCACTCTTAAGAATAACTCAGTTTGTATTGTTTTCCATTTGTCTCCAGATACAAGGCCATTTAAAGTTCCCATATCATGGAAAACTGATTATTTACCTTTTTGAAATAAAATTGCTTTAAGTAGTGGGTAAACAAAGCTAAAGATTGATCGTTATACAGTCCACATATGGCAACTATGTTGCAAAGACAGCCTGTTTTGAATGTATTATTTTGTGATGTCACAAAAACAAACACATTTACATATATCTACCTATACTGCCTACAGCAGTTCAGCTCCGCCCGTTCACCCTGAAGTTATAGGGAGTGTTTCAGCCCTGGGTGCTTTTCGAACGAGCCGCAATACAGCACAGCCAATCAGATGATTTAAAGGCACAATAACAAAAACAGCCTCTTTAATACTAAAGGATAAAGACAAGTTGGAAAATGAAGGTGTAAAAATTGACATTTTTGGTACATAAAATACAAAAAAGTAGTATAGGGGCCCTTTAATAAATAACCCAGCATTACAAGGCAGGTCAGGAAGCATGTTTATAATCATTGTGCACAATACTGTAATAATTGCAACATGAAAATTTGTACAAATGTCAGAAGCCTGCGTTAGTTTTGTTCTCCAGACATTCCCCATATTGCATGTAATGCTAGTCTGTGGAAAGCGCACCCTCTAGCGGCAGACAGCTTGAACTGCAACTCTGCAGTATGTGCCCCCATTATGCTTCAGTAATAAAACCCACATATCCAATCAGGAGTCACTGCAGGTGGTAGGTTTCCAAGACTGCACCCGCAACAAGGCTCTGAATAATGATATACTCATTAAAACACACATATGTCCCTCACCAGAGTTTAAATTCCTGAATATGATGAATCATTGCCGCTATAAGGTGCTACGGTTAGATGCATCCACTGAGACTACAGCCACTAAAAAAAGAACAATATGATCTCCATTACAGATAATATCCAATACCTGCATGTTTGATTACAAAGACAGCATAATTAGTCTTGTGTAACTGAATTTAGTGCAGCACAGTATATACACACATACATACATCTTCTAAACCGCTTATCCTTCTGGGTCGCGGTGGGGTGCTGGAGCCTATCCCAGCTGTCATTGGGCGGAAGGCAGGATACACCCTGGATGGGTCGCCAGTCCATCACAGGGCAGACAGACAGACATACACAATCACACACACACTCACAGGGCAATTCAGCATGTCCAATCAGCCTGACTGCATGTTTTTGGACTGTGGGAGGAAACCGGAGTACCTGGAGGAAACCCACACAGACACGGGGAGAACAGGCAAACTCCACACAGAAAGGACCCTGGCCGCCCCGCCAGGAATCGAACCCAGTTGTTACAGCTGTGAGGCGACAGCGCTGCCCACTGCGCCACCGTGCCGCCCCAGCACAGTATATGAAATGTTGAATACAAATCACTGGATTCATAGTTTGTGATATTTTTAAACATGGCACCACTTTGTCTGTTGCATAAAACATCTTAAGTGAATTGTTGGCTTAAGTTTTCTCTTTGCCTTCAGTGAAAAACCTCTTCAGGGAAATGTTCAAATTTATCGAATTTAAAAATTAAGATGAATACTGCGCATCTTGAACACATATTTGCCCGACTCTATACACTACATATTTTATGTCGTCCTTGCCATTTAATGTCTCGGATCTTGATAATAGCGCATTATGATTCAATACTGGATACAATGGGGAAAGTTTATATTGTTTTGCTTAGCAAACTTAGCCAAGCAATGCAAGACCACCCTGAGGCATTTCTAATACCTGTATTGCAAACAACCTGGACAACAAGAGCCTTCGATTATTCAGGTAGGTACAATAGTAGATATGAAACGTGATTCATTTCCAAAAGACTTTTACACTATTTATCGTTTATTTGTCTTTAAACACACCTTCTTTGGTAAACATGGACATGAAGTACAAACATGTCAGGATAACACAGTTTCTTTAAGCCAATACAATTAGTGCATTGTTCATTACAAAAATTACACAGAGGAAACACCACAAATTTGTTATATTCAGAACATTAGCTCACCAGACATAAATTAGCCACATGCATCATCTCCTTTCTAATACTTGGTTACACATCCCCTTTAATTATACAGGAAATCACCCAATTTTTCAAAAATTCTACATAATTCAGTGGTTGAGATGTAAACAAAGTCATTCAGAGTGATTTTATGTGAAATGGTTCATTGTAGAGAAACTCACAGACTCGGATTTCTTTGCAGTGGTGGTGATAGGAACCAGGGGTCACAATGTCTACAATACAAATATAGCCGTTTTATTTACTGTCCAAAATCACCTACACATATCTGAGTTTTTATATGTAATGTTTATAATGCTAAAGCAGTAGTAAACTTGACTTTTGCTTTATAAGGCCCTGCATGTACCTCCAGGCCATGTATGTAATTTAAACAATTCATTTCAGGCCAAAACTATCGTACAACAATGTCTCAGGAATCAATCAACATATTTCATGTAATAGCTTTCTGTGAGGGAGCTTTTAGAGGCAGTAAACTCTTAAGACATTCTGGTTCCTATCACCACCACTGTGAACAACTCTGACTCTGCAAGCTTCTGTAGAAGAGTGCGTTTCACATCAAACCCCTCTGACTGTTTACATCTTAATGACTTCATTTGGCCGAAATTCAGAAAAATTCAGAATTCAGTCTCCTGTCTTTTTAAGCCCACGCCTTCCACAAACTGGGTTTCAGCCATAGTTTATGTACCTATTTCAGCATTTCACCTGCTCCAAATTGGGAACTGCTGGTCAGTCAGACTGTCCCTGTGTACTATCATGTATGTTGAATCAGTCACAGAAACCCGACAGTTGTCATCCTGGAATGTGGGAGTTACAATGTTGTGCTCAGTTTGGACACGAAGCACACAGTTAGTGGAAGAGTGGACTAAAACTATTGCAGTCTTACTCGTGAAGACAAGATTGGTGCGGTCATTAAGGCAATTGGAGGCTTAACCAGGCATCAGAGAAGAAATGATTAACGACACATTTCTGTCCAGGGGGCTTTCTAGAACCAGCTGTTGCAGCGATATAAACGTAGTGGAAACATATATCCATGTTGCTTTTATAAAGTGCCATAAACTAGAGTTCAGCTGAGAAAAGATCTAAACGCTTATTAAAAGTGTGGACGGTATAAAAAATACCAAATTGGATATAAACTGTTACCATGTAGTTATGTAACCAAACAAGGCACGACCATCGTCTATTGCAATTGAATAGGTGGAAAACTACATTCTGAGTGCATTGAAAAAAACTTTTTTTTCATAAAATTTTTTGTTGTTCATCAATCAAAAGCTATTTTCCATTTACAAATACAAGTAAAGACATGTGCAAAATGTTTGAACACCCCTGGTCAAATTACATTCTGTTGATTTTCAAGTGAAAAGTTAAAATAAGTACACGTCCTCTACAGAGAACACACGTAAATATGATATTTTTCTGCTAAATTTTAGAGCACAATTTTTATTTATTTGCTGTGAAAATTGTAAAAGTAAAAACAGGAAATATTAAATGTGCCATAACTTTTGCACAGGCCACATCTTGTAAATTATTATTTTCTCTCCTACTATGTTAAAGTCAGCAGATATACAGAAATTGTGCATTAAAATGTGGGAAGATTTTCTCTGTAGAGGATATGTACTTATTTTCACTTGTTTACAACGCAAGGTACTTATTTCACTCATCATTTTTTGCATAATTTAGTTCATTTAAATGTTTTCTAAAAGGCCACAATTAAATAATTACTGTTTTTAATAATTAATATGTTTTAGCACCTTAGTGTTTTTATTTTCTTACACAAACTGTTTATATATATTTTTTATTATGCACCAATTTCACAAATTTTGTCTAGAAGCGGGTGAGAGGAGTACATTGTGGTGACCATTCAGTATAAAATTCCTGCTTTCCTCCACCTTTTAACAGAGAAAGTGCAATACAGGTTAAGTGCTTAACTGCTTGTGGAGGTTTTGCTGGGTGTGCTGTTGTACATGCATGGCCCAGGGATGAACTTCTTCATGTTTAGAAAGCTGGGTGATCCTGTTAGCCAGCTGCGTGTTAGCCTGTGGGGGGTCGACGTCTTGCTCTCTGGGTATCTGTTCATCAGCGAAACGTTCGGCCATCTGAACAACAAAACAACAAAACTTCACTGAGAAAACTTTGCGCTTTACAGTCAAATGCAAAAATCACAATGACATTTTTTGTTAATTTTCTAAGAGAAAATAAGTCAACACATCCTCTACAGGGAACTTAAATATAGCATTTTTCTTCAAATTTTCGCAGACAATTTCTATTTATTTGCTGGGAAAAAAAAAAAACATGAAATATAAAATGTGCCATAACTTTTGCACGGGACACATTTTATGTTTTTCAATATGTTAATTTCAATAAATAAACAGTAATTGTGCTTTAAAATGTGCAGAAGTGTGTTCTCTGGAGAGGATGTGTAAACTTATTTTCACAAAATCAACAAAATGTGTAGTTGGACCAGGGCGCCCAAACTTTTGTACACAACTGCACATAGAGGAGGCTGTGGGAGGCAGTGTGGCAAAACCTACCTCTGTCTTTGAGATTCGGGATAAGACAAAACGGTGTTCTTCCACTTGGTAACGCAGGGATACAGCTGCTCTTCTATGTCCATTCCAGTTATTGCTAACAAGACCTCATTGTCCAGCTTGGCCGGCGATTCACTGTGCAGACAAATAATAGTAATTTAAAGCAATCATCGAGTAATGAGCTTTTTTTATTTCACAAGAAGTATTGTGGTCAGACACCTGAAGATCTATGGTTAAATTAAGGGTGGCCATTTAATCATTTTTGCAGTTCGAATGTCTGCGTTTTAAATGAACAGCATTCGGTATCCAATAAGGAAAATGTTGTTGTAAATAGAATTATTGAGTCATTAAGGCATAAAAATACACTTACTCTAAAGCTGTTGCCTGTAACACATTCCAAAAAAGTTGGGACAGGAGCATGTTTACCACTGTGTTACGCCAACTTTCCTTATAAAAACACTTAAAACTGAAGACACCAATTGATCCAGTTTTGAAAGTGGAATATGTTCGAAAGGCAGCATATGTTGCTTCAAAATGTGTATGTACCCCTCAGCATTAATGGTACCATGCCACAATCCAGTGCCATGAGCACTAATACACACCCACACCATGTCAGATGCTGGCATTTCAACTTAATGCTGGTAACAATCAGGATGGTCCTTTTCTTCTCTGACCCACAGAACCACATCTGTTATTTCCATAAATAATCTGAAAGACCACTGTTGTCAGACACACATTTCCACTGTGCATCAATCTATTCAAAATGAGCTAGAGCCCACTACTGGATGCTGTTGACGTATAGCTTCCACTGTGCCCACGGCAGCCACAATTTGCTTTTGTGGATGCAGCGATAAACACTCTTTATTAACACACACCGATCAGCCATAACATTATGACCACCTCCTTGTTTCTACACTCATTGTCCATTTTATCAGCTCCACTTACTATATAGGTGCACTTTGTAGTTCTACAATTACAGATTGTAGTCTCTCTGGTCTACAAAGTCCAGCTGTTCTGCTGGAGTTTGTAGTCTAAACGCCAGCAGCACTGCTGTGTCTGATCCACTCGTACCAGCACAACACACACTAACACACCACCACCACATCAGTGTTACTGCAGTGCTGAGAATGATCCACCACACAAATAGTACCTGCTCTGTGAGGGTCCATGGGGGTCCTGACCACTGAGGAACAGGGTAAAAGGGGGCTAACAAAGTATGCAGAGAAACAGATGGACTACAGTCTGTAACTGTAGAACTACAAAGTGCACCTATATAGTAAGTGGAGCTTTCCAAGATGCTCCTTTATACCCAAACATGATTGCATCGCCTGCCTAAGATGTTTTTTGAACATTTCACAACATTCATAGGTTTGAATTGCCCCATCCCAACATTTTTGGAATGTTTTAAGCATATATTTACAAACAACAATGAAGCTGATGAGGTAAAACATTAAATATCTTGTCTTTTTGTTTAAATACAGACCAAAGCAGATTTATAAAACACTGTTTTCTGGTTGAACTGAGGTTTGTACTTTATTTACTGTCAAAATTAGCTGCTGCCATGCAATCCAACAAATTAATATTCATTTGTAGTTGATAATCCAAGACGTTTGGTGTCTGAAGTTTGATTTTTACACTGAAGACATAATGCTAATGTAGCTAACAAGTAATGGAAGCTTACAGTTATACCAGTTACCACTGTGCAAACTGCAGGCCTAATCAGTTGTTTCCAACTCAATATTTCAAGGCCCCAAAATGGTCCACATTTCTGCCCAATCCTTGCCCCAAGCACCTCTTAACCAAGCAATGAACACTGAATAACTGCTACAGATGTGCTCCAAGAAGCGATACAGCAAATATGTGGACTATCCTGAAGTTTCCAGAACAGAAAACAGTAGCCCAACTTATTACAAACTTACCTCAAACCATTATGCAGTTTAATGTATTTTATTCTGGATAAATGGATATTAAAATGAGTTTGGATATTTATATTTTCCATTCTCATCCCTATTTAAATGCAGAATTTAAACATTGTATATACAGTAAGAGCTTACCCTGTTAGAAAAATGTTTTGCCAGAGTCCCTCTGTCGTTCCGGTCTCTTCAGGTATACTGAGAGTTGATTTGTAGGAAGAGTTAGACGACCCGGAGCTGTTTAAATCCCACTCTCCACGGCTCCCGGGACTGGGACGAGCCAGAATCCCACATGCTGGTAAGCCCTGCCCTCCACTTCCATCTTCCTGGCAGAGGGTATCCGTACCCTCATCTGCTGTGTAGTACTCTTCTGAGCTGGAGTCATCATCCTCTGTCCACTCCCTCTCTCTCACAGAGCTCCGTTCTCTAGAGCCAGCAAGGCAACCCAATCCAGAATCCGCTGAATCCTCAGAGGCCTGGCTGAGGGAAACCCTCTCAAACTCCTGCAGCAGGTCACAGACAGGATACTTCTTATGGAAAGATCCAGGGCTGTTTTCGTCAGTTCCACTGTCACGTGACATCCCAGACGGACTGCGCAGATGATCATCGAGGAACGTCCCAGAGATAGAACTGGGTTCTTTTTCATGTCCTGCAAGAGACATAATGTAGAAAGTATTTAAAGAATCTGTTGCCACCAGCTGAAGCTGTTTTTCTGTCCTCGGCTCTAAAGAAATGGTTTCCACTTTCCAACCACCACTAATGTTGCTAACAAACACTAGAAATCAATAGCCACCCCAAAACAGGCATGCTAAATTCTGACTCCTTGCAGAATCCAACTCCCCTTCACTTTCATGTTTGTCACACACATACATTCAACAGATTATATTCACAGTTACTGTTGTTTTGTTTGATATGACATTTCTTCAGGTTGAAACTTTAACACAAACAGTTATTTGTACATACAAACAAATGACAAAGAACTTAATCTGTGGTATCTGTATGCCTGCGTGACATGCATACTCATGAAAAGGAGTTGGAAATCGGCACAATACCTGTAGTTTAAAACATCTGACCACAGCGTTCAGCTACACAGTGAAGTTCTGTTCATTTTTATAGTTCACAGTGTAAAAATTAACAGATAAGTCATATTGTCATAAGTCACGAAACACATTGCTAAGGTAGCACGACCTTGATGAGGTTTGAGTGGGTTGAAAGTTTTGGGGACGTATTTATGGAAAAAAATTCGGGTGACTATTGACTTATAGTGTTTGCTAGCAACATCAGCCTTATAGCTCCAGCACTAAACTAAAGAAGCAAAATTTGTACACTGAACACGGCTTGCATTACTTACTACACCTATGGTAACTGGAAAACTGTGTACATTTGATTTTCTGCTTTAAACTCTTGAAACCTAGGCTTACCTGTGAATGGAGAACCTTTCTTGTTCTTGTTCAAAAACTCCTCCAACATATTCAAGCCGTCGTCTGCAAAGAGGTCAGTGAAGCAACTGAGGAAGTCCCAGTATTCAGCCCAGGGGTACCTCATCTCATGTGCCAATTCCCTGTTGACAAAGATGATGAGCTGCAATTCTACAGACAAGCTTGTAACAAGACAAACTATAAGCTAAGATTTGATAGAGGTGGGTGGAGTAACCTAAAATAAACTCCCAGTAGAAATTCTTAATACATTCCGCATCTATCAGCACAGGAAGAGAAATTTGTTGCGCTGTTATTCGTCTCTTCCTTTTGGTCTAAAGCTCAAAAGTGAGAGGTGTGAGAAACATCAAAGCATTCCAGGAGCTGAACCAACAGAATAAAATTAAACCTCCAAAATGAATTAGGAGATAAACTTGAAGCACTGAAGTGGAACAGACCAAAAAACAGGCTACTTTCTTTAAAATTATACTTGTATATCAGAATTTGAAAGTACTCTGAGAAGTACAAATCCAAATAACTAGTCACTACCCACCTCTGAGCTTTGAGAATAAAGATTAAGACATTCACATCCCTACAAAGGCTTGACAAATTTCAAAGTTTCGTTCACACCTTCCCACTCTCTCCGCTCCTCGATCTGGGTCCGATTTTAAAATGTCATGGAAATATCTGGCTCGGTTGCGTGGTGGTGTTTTCCACAACTTGTGAAACTCCTCTGCCTGCGGAAGGGAGGTTGGTTAGGCAGATAGGAACAAGCACCGGTAAGAGGTTCTGCATTTAAAACTGCACAAGGTTGGCATTACCTTCAGTCTATTTAGAGGGCCTGCAAACGCCCTAATAGTCATCACTGGGTTTTTGGGATCGTCTACAAGCCCAGGGCTAAGTGATAGATCAGCACATTCAGAGGAACCCGGGGCCCACGGCACACCGATGACAGGGTTAAGAGTGTTGTCTGTAGCCCTCAGCAAAGGCACGAAGAAACGATCTGCGACAAAAGGTAAAAGCTGGCCATCAAGCTATGCATTTTTTTAACAACTGTATTCACTGTTTTCTATACGGCAACTTACCCTCCAAATAGTCGTTGATCTTCTGTTTAGTTTCTTTAGACTTGTTTTTCCTCTCACATATCACCTATTAAAGCAAGATCAGGATTAAAGAAGTAATCAAGAAGTGTCAAAAAAATCTAATGTCAGGCCTGGGCAATATGTAAAAATAATTAGCATGGTAAAAAAAAAGTAATACTTGTTGTATACCTCCCAGCCCCTTGCAAAGACACATGGTCCACAGCACCTCAGACCTACTTTACATGCCATCTTTAGGCCCAATCCCATTTCTTCTTTTTACCCCTACCCCTTGTTTTTGAGTGTCACCCTAAACCCTTGGAACTGAGTTACAAGGGGTGGTGGTTGAAATCTTGCCCTACGAAATGGGACAACCCTCAAATTCACAAACACATTATTTCAGTAACAGGCTACTAGCAGTGCTGTGTAGGTGACCCGGCCCGTCTTCAGTGATAGCAAAGAAGGGAAAAGTTCAGCTCCTCACTGCTGGGCTTTAGTTACATTTAGGGAATCATATGATCTTCAAAGAGGGGGTATAAGACAATTATTTATTATCACCCACCGCTAATTCTTCGGTGATATGAAGCTGAAGTCAGATATTCACCAGCTTCTTGTTCGAATTTTTTGGGTTTCTTTGGTTGCTTGCGCAGCCATCTTGCCGGTTTTTCTTTTTTTCTCATAACACTCCGTTTGGAGGGCCATGTAGCCCTAACACTTCGCCCTACCCCTCTATCTCAACAAAATGTGGGACACCCTAACCCTACACATGAACACGCAAAACAGAGGTCTAAGGGCTAAGTTGTAGGGACAAGGCGAGAAATGGGATTGGGCCTTAGAGTAACTTTTTCTTTTTTTTTTTAATATAAGCAGTAACTGATTTAATGAATATTTCGAATAGATATTACTTTTTAAATTATAAAGTACTGAGTAATCAACATCTTCTGGTAATAAACTATTTCACTTCTCGTTTGGAAAGTTGGTACTGCAAGCACATGCATCCTTGTTCTGCTGGTGTGGGTTCATGGCTGTTTCTTCTCTTTAAATGATGCTCAATAAAGTGACTTGCATGCTAATAGCTCTACCTTGAACAGAAATTTAAGACTGTCAAATGTGGATGAGTGAGAGTGAGTTCCTAATCCATGTGTGCCTTCCAAAAAACAAAACAAAACAAAACAAAAAAAGTTTCACCACTATAGTGCTCTGGAATTCAGCTATAAATGCCTGTAGGAAACCAGTCAGCATTACATTTTCAGAATTTTACAACTCAGCTATTGGGACACTTAAGCTGAAAGAAAAATGCTTCAAATTTGGGGAAACTGACTCTACCATTAGCTTAATGTCTTTTTAAAGGCCTATAACAATTCATTGCTCTAACAATAAAAGGGAATAACACATTATATCCACACATTTAACATGATTTAGCAAGATGTTTAGCATTAAATTCTCATCTGTAGTTCTCTGTCAGATCTCTCTTAATACTTATCGCCCCTGAAACACTGTAATTGGCTTACTTGTCAGTTACTACAGATATCTGATTGCATTGCCCTATTGTCCAGGCCTGCTGCTACTGTTTTCAGGGGAAAATTGTACAAAGTAGATTTTTCACCAAACTGTTCCTTCAACAATGGTCATTCATCTGTCTAGAAAATTGATGTCATATGTTAGTTGACTGATTAACTCTCTACTGAATGATTAGCCAATCAAATCAGATCTTGCATTAATGACAGACGAATCAGCAGAGAGAGAGAGGTGCCTGAAGGTGGAGACTTTTTTTTTTTAAAAGGGGACCCCGGAAGGTGTGGAGGGAGCGGTTGTTGGAGAGCAGTTCCCGGGAGCACGGTTGGCTACAAGGGTTGCGGCGTGGAGAGCACGCAAATGAAGTTGTCATTAACGCAAGTTCTGATTTGATTGGCTAATCATTCTTTAGAGAGTTAATCAGTCACAAAATACCCCAAATAACACTCAAATCACACTTAAAGCACCCTCCACAGCAACCCCCCACAAAATAACACTACAATACATCCAAGTCTCAAATAAACAAATCAAAGCAAAAAAGAAAGAAAGGAAAAAACCCAAACCAGTGTTTACCCTACTAACACATACACATAGGTGATTTCGTACTTACGCTAGAAGGTTTCTGTCCATACTTGTTTCTACAGTTCTTATCGATGGCTGGATGTGAGCAAAGCACATTCACTACTTCTGTGCAACCGAATTTACAGGCAAAGTGAAGAGGAGTCTCGTTGCTCTGTGGGAACAACACCGCAAATATGTTCACACTGAATTTCTGATTTCGAATACAGCTGAGAAATCATCGGTACATCACTAACCGCTTTATCAGGTGTGTTGAGGTACAGGTCCACGATGTAGTCAATTCTTTGCCATAGCATGTCCTCCTGATCATCAGGATACATGAGGCGCATGAACTCTGGACTCTCCAGGGTCTCTAAGATGAGCCGTGCCATCCCTGGTTGGTTCTCTTTTGCCGCTACATGAAGGACATTGTATCTACACCCTTCCTAGATGAGATGAAGCATAGCTCTTAATTCATTCCAATGTAAAGGTATAACCAAGCAGTGTAGTTTTGAAAGTGACAGAGCACAGTTGGTAACTCTACACTCTCAGAAATAAAGGTATGAAACGGTCACTGGGGCAGCACCCCTCTTGTCACTGGGGTGGGGCACTCAAGGGTACGTCTCAGTACCTTTAGTCAGGGAACATAATTCAACCACGTTGTACTGACTCTACACACCCCGTCTCATCTCCAGGCTTTTTATTTTATTGTTCTGTTTAAAACATTCGGTGATGAAAAGGTATAAATACGTACTTTTCACCCTGGAAAAACTTGTGTAAGGTTCACAATGGACCTTAAAACCACTGTTGTACATTTGAGGGAACATTTACATTGTTTGTACCATACCTGCACAATGGTTGGGTTGTCTCCAGAGCCAATGAGATATCTTGGGTTACTCCATACAAGCTCTTTGAAGGCCTTTTCATCTCCTTTCTCCACAGCTCTCCGAAGTTTTGCCGTCAGGTCTTGTGTACGTGGGCTTCTGAACTCATTTGGTTTCTCCATATTTGCCATTTCTAGACTGATGGATTTCTCTGCTAATTAAAAGGATTTTTCACCAATAAATGTTAATAATAATGAATTTGCTACTAACAAGTAAAGCCATTAGGGCAGGTTAGGCATTATGCAAATGAGATCAGCCTGACTGGTACCACCTTCACCATCACTGTTACGTGCGAGGCACTGATTGTTGCCAGTGTAATTTTTTCCTCTGCTATAATTAAATGACTTAAGTTTAAAGAAGACCATAAAAATGGCTTTCAATGAATCTGTTCCTGCCAAACACAGTACAAACTCTCATAATTAATATTCATATGGTGCATCTGCCTACCTGCAGGAGATGTAATGTGGGATGTTTCTGCTGAGGGATTGTTGGGAGACAGACCACCATCACTTATGCCCTTAGCAAAGTTCTCAGCCTCCTCTCTGCTGGAGAAAGCTTTGAACCTCGCTCCTTTCATCTTCATCACTGCCCTCAGAGCTTTCTGCTTGTCAGCATATACATGGAGGGCACCTACAGGAATAATCAATGTTACAATCTTTCTCATAAAATAGATGAAAGAAACCATGAGCGAGGTCATAACCTGTGACAAACACAAAAATATGTCTATGACAACTTTAAAACTAACCTACTCATAAATTCCTATGGCTTGAACATTTGAAGCTTCTACAATACTATAATACTCTGGTAGATTTATTAAATATTATTATTAAATACTCTCGACATTTGGCATGTTTCATTCTTTATATAATACATAAGACTGCACTGATGTATTCTGCATTATAGGCTAGGTCAGGGGTCGGCAACCCAAATGTTAAGAAGAGCCATTTTGTCCTTTCAACTAAAATCAAACCACCATGCAAGCCACAACATTTTATGTCCACTTTACCATTTTGCCTATAAATATGTCTTAATATGTGCTAATATCCTAGCATAGGCTAAAAATATAATATAAACAAGATCGCAGACTTACTGTGCTCTGCTTTAATCTTTAGCTCAGCTATAGCTGCTTTTCTCGCATCTCTGGCAGGAAACTTTTCCACAAAAGTACAAGAGCCTCTTGTAAAATGTCTCTCAACGTTCGACTTTTTACAAGGCTGAAGTTGCTTCTCAATTGCTAGATTCTTGATCGAATTTTCCCGTTCCATCTTAAATGAGTCGCCAGAATGTAACTGCACCATTTAAGGTGGAAGAAGAAAATTCGAACAAGAATCTGGCGAACGAGAAGCGACTTCAGCTTTGCAACTTTTTCAATGGTGTTTGACAGTTTCTCCTTGCAGATTTAACGTATCAGGAAACCAGCTGAGTGCTTATAAATGCAAATAAGTTCATTCGTCTCCAAATCATGCAAATCTTTGCTGTTTCATTAGCAGTGAGCTATGGGAGATTGTTATCTGCATTGCTATGTGACCAGCTGTCTGTGCGCCAACCTTCAGGGTTAAAGGGTGAATTAGCAGTTATACATTAACTCCAGCACTTCAGACCATTTAGTGTTAAAACTGTGTTGAACGATCAGCAGAGCTTTATTTACTGCAAAGGAGGATTATTTTATTTTTACCTAAAAATCGAATTCTGCTGCGGAGCCGCAACAGGGCAGTAACAGAGCCGCATGTTGCCGACCCCTGGGCTAGTCTCACAGGCGACAACTCTGAGAAATGGGTGGAAGGCAGACCTTTTAGGGTGGGAACAACCTAAGTGTGACAATTCTAAACCTATCCAATGTCTCATGAAGGTGGAGTTCGAATTAGGGGGTCAATGGTGTGCTTGTCAACACTGTTCAGTAGACAACCAGCCTCTTGTTAGTACATGGATGCAGCAGGTTAGCATGGCTGGCTAACAAAAACTCAGAATAACTGCATGTACAGAGAACTCATTACATGTAGTAGAAATAAACATCACCTCTTGCATGAGAAAAACGGGTCAGTTAGCTAACAATAGTGTTTTGCTTTGGATTTGCTGATTGATTGTACTCTGGATGTTAATAGAATTGAGGTATTGGTTTACAGGGAGTGTACAGTTGTCTGTGTTTTCACCACAATCCAGTGTTTTCGCAATTTAACAGGCTAAGAATGTGTTTAATCTGTAATTTAATAATGTAATTTCAGACCATGTTAAAAGAGGCCATGTTTAATTTTTTTAGTTACTAAATCTATTCAGTCTTTATTGTTTGTATTATTCATTTTAAAAATCTGACATGACAGGAAATTTTGATTTTAAAATTCCTACCTAATTCAGTTGTTGAAATGTAAACAATGTCATTCAGAGTGATTTTGTTTGAAATTGTGCATTGTAAAGAAACGTACAGACTGTACAGAAATTTCTTTGCAGTGGTGATGACAGGAACCAGGGGTCACGATGGCTACACAATGCAAATGTCACCATTTTTTTACATCTAATGTTTATGATGGTAAAATAATTGTAAATCTGAAAAAATACATTTTCTTTTAGCACTATTTTGCCTCACAACACCCTGCATATACCTCTCTACCATGAACAGAATTCAGGCCAAAATCTTTTCTCCGAAATGTCGTAAAGCACTGTCCAGGTAGTATATTCATACCAATTTAAAAAAAAAAATAAATAAAACTTTCTTTGAGGTAGCTGTAAGAGGCCTTTCATTTAAGATGTCTGGTTCCTATCACCACAGCTGTGAACAAATTTGAGCTGGCAAGTTTCTCTTACGTGGAGCACTTCACATCAAGCCATTATGTTGTTTACATTTGAACGCTGAGGTTAAGCCAATGTCATTATGTTATTAAGCACTGCAATACTAAACCTGGTATTGATATCGAACTCAAAAGTCCGATATTTGGAGAAAAAAAAACACCACAGTTGTTCTTTACTTACCATCATTAAGAAGTGGATCATCCAAAGGAGGCAAGACTCCATAAAAGACTGAGGGTGACTCCGGAGAAGCCTGTTGACTCACATCCTCCAAGCTTTGGGCTGAAGTATTCAAATCCTCTCTCTCCAGCTTTGTCACTTCTGGGTCAGCAGTCTGAGACTGAGTCTGTTCCGAAGAGCACGTGCCTTGATCTCCACTGCCCACCTCTGACCTGACACCATCTCCTTGGTTTTCCAGAAGGGTCCGGGCCAACTTCTTCTCAAAGATGCCCCTGGTAGTAGCTGTTATAGGCCCACACTTCAGCCCTGCCCTTGTGATCTCCACACGGAGCTCGTCTGGAGTCAGAGTTTGCAGTCTGCTCAGGACCTCCTCCATAATGTGATAGCCTGATGGGAAAGTTGACAGATACTTGCTGAGGTCAATGCCTAATTTAGAGCAGCGCAGTGACTTCTCATCTTATGTTTCTAATGACTAGATGAAAATTCTCTCAAAAAAGACTCAAAAAAGTCCCAAAGAGCAAAATTCTCATTCTTTACTGTTGTTTTCCCACCATTTAAAATAATTAAAAAAATAAACAGCACCTAATTATTTTTTCCATTCTTATGTCAATTGCTATGTCATTATTTTGTGATATTAGGTCATTCTTTTGAAATATTATTTTGAGATACTAAGTCATTATTCTGAGATGCTTCCTCACTAAACCATCAACCCTCCTTATTGTATTACAGTAACTCCTCTGTAACATAATAACATTTACACAACTGAACAAATGTTAAATCTGTGCAAATATTCATATCATTCTGTAATATTCTGTATATAATAGTTATTACAGTATGTCATCAGACCTTGATACATATAGATACTCTTATCTACATATGTACAGATATTCTCACTTCTCTTTAGCTCCTCCATGGCTCTTCATTATTCATTACTCATTATTTATTGTATTTTTATTTTTCCATAGCTGAATACACTGTTTGCTTGTCTGGTCTGTTACACGTCATACATGTGTGCACTCACCAAGACAAATTCCTCGTATGTATAACATGCATGGCAAGTATGATTCTGATTATTCTGAAATGCTTTCTCATTATTTTAAGAAGCGTTCCCCATGTATGCATATGTAAATGTATATTTAAATGCATATATATTTACCTTAAAAGCATAAAGCATCTCAACATAATGAGAATGTTTCTCAAAATAATGACTTAGCATCTCAGAATAGTCACTTAGAATTTAAAAATAATGAGATATCTCAAAATAATGACTTAGAATATAAAATCAATGAGAAAGCATCTTAAAATAATGACTGAGCATCTCAAAATAATAAGAAAGCACCTCACAATAATGACTGAGCATCTCAAATAAATGACTTAGCATCTCAAAATAATCAGAAAGTATCTCAAAATAATGACTTGGCATCTCAAATTAATGACTTAATGTCTCAAAATAATGTGAAAGTATCTCAAAACAATGGCTTAGTATCGCAAAATAATGGCATACAAATTCATTTAATAACGATAAACAATAATTATGTCATTTTTACTTTAAGTGGCGGGAATGTGCTTCCACATTTCTCTCTTCCAATATGACAGACTAAAAATATCAAGAGCGCCTCAGACATAAAGAATCGGTGTCAGTAAAAAGAGTGAAAAGCTCCATGGTGTACGAAGCTGCACCATTTAAGGTGGAACGGATAATTCGAATAAGAAGCCAGTTTTCTCCTCGTAACAGCGAAACTACTCCCTTAGCTCTGCACATCTACTTTGAAACACGTGGCAACGCAAAACTAAGAATAAACGACTCAAAGAATACTTACAGTCTCGTCAGCTACACACACACGAAAGCGAAAGGTTTTCTCAGTTAACTGAACCCGAGTTTCATCCCTTATTTTTGCTAAAATGCATCTTAGACTGTTAAACACACCAACGTCTTCATAACTAGGCTGCGCCTGTGTTTACATACTACTGCGCATGCTCAGTAGGCAGCCCCGTCATAAGGCGCAGACTCAACACGAGTCCTTAAAAGGCCGAGTCACAGTTTGGGGAGGATCTTAACCATTCATGCTTTCATTCAGCTCGAATCAGTTTTACTTGTATGCAGTGGTGTAAAATTCAGGTCCGGAAAGTAAAAATCCTTCCCAGGATTTTGTTCCAACGGCTTGGCTTCTCTAGTTAGATGAAACCTCCAGCAGAGCTGTCCAGGCAGTTGGAACAAAATCCTGGAAAGGATTTTTACTTTCCGGACCTAAATTTTGCTTGTATACGGCTTTTTGAGAACACACGTTGTCCCGAAGCAGCTTTACAAAAACCCAGGTCCAGGCCCGCAATCATAAAGGAATGCTCTAAAATTTAAAGGGCCCATACAATGAAAAATGTTGCTTTGTTCTATACAGAGCAATTTGGTGTAGTATGTAAAATGTGTTCCAAATGTTCACTTCCCAGTCCCTACGTTCCCTATAAGAGAACAAAACTGCACATTCATTGTTTTTGTGATTTATATAGCCTATTCAGCCTGCAGCAGTTTAGTGAAGTGTTAGCTTCAGATGTCTGGTTCCTATCATCACCACTGTGAACAACTCTGACTCAATACATTTCTGTAGAACTGAGCATTTCACATAAAAGCACTCTGAATGACTTTGTTTACATCTTAACGATTTATTTATGCAGAAATATAAATTAAGTTTAAAATGAGACATCATACAAAGGAAAGATGTTCCTTACATATAACGGCTCATATTATGTAAAACAAATAAATAAATAAAAGAATTTGGTGTGGTTTGTAAAGATCACTGAAACGTACCAACTACTTCTCGGTCCGTAGAATCCATATATATGGAAACTAAGCTGCAAAACGCCCTGTTTTAAGTTCATTGTTTTTGTGATGTCACAAAAATCAACATCTTTATATAAGTCCACCAGCTCAGCCTGCAGCTGTGTAGCCCTGCCCATTCATGCTGAATTTATGGTCTTTCAGCCCCAGCAGTTTTTACAAATGAGGCAACATACAAGGCAAGCCAATCAGAACTGCAGTCATTTACATAAATCAGTCTTAAAGTCGACATGAATTGGAAATCATTATACATTTTTCTTCCTTGGCATCCTAGCTGAGAATTTCATATGATGAAAGGTGGGAGTGGTGGAAGGGGGAGATGAAAGATTACTTAATTTGTTAAAAGCAATTTTAAAAAAAGGTAAATTTTGAAATTTAGGTTGACCTTGAAGGCATAGTGACAGCCTGTTTAATTCTAGGAGCCTGTTTAATTATAGGAGAAGGTTGGTAAGAGATTATATAAGAATGAATTATAACTATTTTTAGTACATAAAATCACACAGATGTCATAAGTGGACCTCAGGGGAAAAACATAAAACACAAGAAAAAAATATAAGATATGAGCCCTTTAAAGTCTGTCAGCAATCTATCAACAAAAAGACCTGGTGGCCTACTGATTGTGTCAGACATACGCAGGATGAGAATATGGTGGTTGGTCATTAAATATGATTTTAAGGCCTGATTCGCAGTTTCTGAGGTAGTCAGCACTCATGAAACCCCTCACACATCCATAATAGAAGCAGTGTGACAATATATTCATTAAAATCTCTGCAACCTTCTTCATGCTTTTCCAAAATCTCCACTGACTCGTCACACCCCAGACACCACCAGTTCCAGCTCCTTCCCTCAGGCCGGCGCTTCAGCCAGATGAGGATCAGGACATCCAGGCTACAGAGAAGCTTCTTCCCACTAGCCATCACTCTCTTGAACAGTTAAAATATTACACATTAAAATATTCCAGCTTCTAAACTGCACTTCTAAACATATTTTTATTCTAGCACCTCACTTACCTGCCTTATTACCCCATTAATCTGACTGTTACCTCCTTGATCCCTTTCTTTGCCACTACACACCCTTTAACTGCTGCTGCTCTCAGCACTTTAACTTAAGACTCATACTTTGCACAATGTAAAAGTTACAGCTATGACTGTGTGTGTATGTGTATGTGTGCTTGTGTGTATGAGTGAGTGATGGTAGGAATGCATGTTTTAGTTTTATTTTATTTTATTTTATTTTATATTTATTTTATTTTATTTTATTCACTACATCTAAATGTTTGTCTGATACTGTGCACTGTGAGCTCCTGTAACCAAAACCAAATTCCTTGTATGTGTAAGCATACCTGGCCAATAAAGCTTGATTCTGATTCTGAAAAGGTCTGTTGCGTTAGGAGTTCCCTTCGTTGCCACTTAAGTGTCATGCTGTGCGCCAAACAGCAGATGGCGCTAATGTACTGTTTTTCTAGATGATGTCTGCAACTCTTAAACCTCTTATTTTAACCTTAAAAATGAATGGTCAAAATGAGCGTGTAAACCTCACACTTAGCGTAAGTTGGATGTGTTATACAAAGATATTATCAGTTTTATTGTTAACTTGCTTCTCTCAAAAACCTACAAACTTTGAGCTCACAGTCTCCTGAAAGCTCAAACTCCCATTTGAGCCATTTAGCTAGCAAAACGGGCTAACAGGCCTACAGTGGCCATTCTGGGTTGTATTGCTTTTCTTCCAGGCTCTCCCTTTAAAGGAGAACAACGATTTTTAAAAAAAATTCTGCATAATTAAATAGTTAAATTGGTCTGAGAACTTACAGAGTCAGAGTCGTTCACAGTGATGGTGATAGGAACCAGACGTCCACTTCTAATAGCTCCTCAGAGAAACTTATTATCTGAAATGGTTAGGAATACACTGCCTGACGTCTGGGACATTGTTTTACAGTAGTTTTGTTATAAAGTTTAGGCCTAAAATGTCTTTTAATCTGTTTATTTTAATCCATCCATGCTGAAAGAGATACATGAAGGGAGTTCTGAGGCAAAATTGTCCTCTAAGGAATCTTATTTTTCAGATTTAACACTATTTTACCACCATAAACATTACATGTTAAAACTCAGAAGGGTATGTAGGTTCACTGGCGGTTTTGAATAGTAAATAAAATAGTTATATTTGTGTTGTAGACATGGCAACCCCGGTTCTAATCACCACCACTGTAAAGAGTCAGTAAATTTCTCTACAATGAACCATTTCACACCAAACCACTCTGAATGAGTCTATTTACATCTCAACCACTGAATTATACAGACATTTTGAAAAATCGGTGGACTTCTTTCTTTTAACCTGCTCTTTTCTTCAGGCAGAAAAAAGGTTTAAAAAAAAAACAAAACTTTGTACTCTTATCATGCTAATGTTGCTTTTAATAATACAGTTATTGACACACCACTATGTTCAATGTGCTGCTGTATATTGAAGCTTTGAATTTGGGTTCAAATCGAAAACATCTACATAAATTGGTATTCCTGTGGGGCTGCTGTGACGGACAGCACATATATTAACTAAAATGACTATTGCCCTTCCTTCAAACCTCTAGGATAGGATAGTCTCTTTATATAAAATTAAAATAGACTAATTTCCGAGATGAAGCTCCTTTAAATCTGACACTGCAAAGACGAAACAGTGCATGGCCTACTAAGCTGGAAATATACTTGTAAAGAAAGTTTCACTGTTTGTTGTTGTTTTTTTACTCAAAACTCTCCCATCATTTATAATACCACTCATTTACTTACTGAACTTAAAGTAGAAGTTTTGTGTAAAATGAAATTTTCAACAATTTTCCCCTTTACCCCAAATACAGTCAATCAGCTAATACAAGTCTGGTGTGTAGAGTTAGCCTCTTTACATTTGCACTGAAGCTGAGGCTAATGTGACTCAAAGCCAGTAGCAGCTTGTGTACACCAGTTAGCATTGTGCAAACCTCATGCCTATAACCTCACATACTTGATTCAAACTGTGTCAAGCTGTTAAATGAGTCTTCCACACAAAAACTAGCATCTAATCTTATTTAATATGGTTTGTTATGTTCTGTAGCGCAGGAATGCATTTACGATTTTATATACTTTTTATGTATTCAACTGTTTCACTACAATAACCAGCATGCATCACACAAATATATCATCCTCCCTGCAGTAAAACCAGAATCCTGAGATGTAAGGGCTAATGAATACTGACATGATGTCTGGCTTGCTAGTAGCTATATGACATCCTTCTGTGTTAGCATACAAAAGTTCCTCCCACCTTCAGCATACATCATCAGAAGGTGCACTTTGTAGTTCTACAATTACAGACTGTAGTCCATCTGTTTCTCTGCATACTTTGTTAGCCCCCTTTTACCCTGTTCTTCAATAGTCAGGACCCCCACAGGACCACCACAGAGCAGGTACCATTTGTGTGGTGGATCATTCTCAGCACTGCAGTGACATGGTGGTGGTGTGTTAGTGTGTGTTGCGCTGGTACGAGTGGATCAGACACAGCAGTGCTGCTGGAGTTCTTAAACACCTCAGTGTCTCTGCTGAACACCCAGCCAACAGCGTCCTGTGACCACTGATGAAGGACAAGAGGATGACCAACACAACCTGTGCAGCAACAGATGAGCTACTGCCAATGAGTTTACATCTACAAGGTGGATCAACAAGGTAGAAGTGTCCAACAGAGTGGACAGTGAGTGGACACAGTGTTTAAAAACTGCAGCATGTTGTGGGCTTTGATGAAGTCTATTTTTTCTGCCTCAGGCAACTGAAGCTAGCAAACAAAACTGAGGCTAGTACAGCTAGCATGCTAGCTATCAAGCACATAGGGAAATGATAGTTTTATGCTAATGTTTTTTAGTCTATGTTACAAATATTATTCTCTCTAGTTTGTGAATCATTCTTGATTCACATACTACAGAGAGGATATGATGTGAACTGATTTCATGATTGGATTTGTACAAAATTATTCTGAAAAGAAAATACAGTTCTAAAGCCTACAAGAGGTATACAAATGAATAGACATGAATGGACATGCATGGACAAAAATGACCAACAGTATGTCATTTTTGTGTGATATCTTTGTGTTATATATTGAAGCTTGTTTCAGCCACATGAAGCAAAAAAAGGCCATAAAGTATTTAA